GGGCAGGTGAGCGCCAGGGGTGGAGGCAGGCGGGCGCGCCTGCGGCCCCACACATACCCCCCCACACACACCGGCTGGCACAGCTGCCGTCCGAATCCAGCCCGCCGCTCCACCTCACAGCCCAGCCCCAGGCACCTCTTCCACCAACCGCAGCCACCGGCCCTGGCCCCGCCCTGCCCCCCGTCCCGCTCCCGCACCTGTCAGCTCCGCCACCTGCTGGTCCTGCAGGGTATCAAATGCCAGTACCGCCTCCTCCGTGGTACGGTAGTTGACAAAGGCGTACATGCGGCCGGGGAAGGTCACCACATCGTCGACGGTGCCAAAGCGCTCAAACAGCGTCTTGAGCAGCGCGCGCGGCGTGCGCGTGCCCAGGTTGCCAATCCACAGGTGGCGGGTGGGGTCCAGAGACTGTGCGGGGGCGGGGTGGGGGGCAGGACGGGGCAAGGGGAGGGGCGAGGTGAGGTGAGGAGGAGGCAAGGAGGAGGTGAGGTGAGGTGGGACAGTCAAGAGGCGGGGCAGGCGCTGCTGCCCAGCCCGATGAAAGCGGAGCTGGGGAGTGGCAGGGAGCACGGCAGCAGCTGGCAAACGAGCATGCCACAGGCCGGCAGCAGCAAGCACAGGGACAGGCAGGCAGCGCAGGGAAGCAGCCGCGGCGCCCACCTCGTCGCCAGACAGGTCCGGCACGCGGTAGCAGGCGCTGCCCTCGCTGCCGCTGTCGCCCGTGGCGCCTGCGGAGCTCGGGGAGCAGGACCCCGGGGGCGCCCACATGCCGTGCATGAGCGCGTCCGCCGCCGTGGCCGCTGCCAGCTGCTTGCGCGCGGCGGCGGCGGCGGCGGTGGAGGGGCTGCCGCTGCCCTGTGTGGAGCCCGAGCTGGCGCGGCCCATCATGGGGCCATCATCCAGACAGCTGAGGCTGGAGGAAAGCAGGTGGCTGCTGTCGGCGTCGCCGTCGTCGCGCTCGTCGCCGCGGCGCGACAGCGAGGCGAACAGCGGGTGGCGGCGCGGCGACTCGGGCTGGCCGTGCAGCGGGCCCGACGCCGTGGGGGAGGAGAGGGAGGGGGAGCCCACAAACAGCGCGTCTTGAAGGCGCACCGAAAGGAGGTGGTCTGCCTCACGCTGAGCCTGCTGCGCGCGCTGCGCCTGCTGCGAGGCGGCGGCCGCCGAGGCCGCGCGCGGCGACCCCGCCGCCGCCGCCGCGCCGAAGCTGGGCTGCCGGCCGGGCAGCGGGGGCAGGCCGGGGCGCTGGCTGGCGGGGCTGAGGCCGCCGCCGCCGGGGGCGCCCAGCGTGCCGCCGTGAGGCGGGCTGGGGAAGGCGGGATGGCGGGTGGAGGGGCCGGCGTGGGGCAGGGCGCTGCCGGAGAGCGGGATGGCGGCGGGGAGCTGCGGTGAGGAGACACCCAGCAGGCTGCCTGCCATGGTGGGAGAGCCAAAGAGGCTGTAGCCGCCACCAGGCTCAGAGTACAGGCTGCTGCCGCCTGGGCTGCCGAGGGGGGCAAAGGGGGAGGGGGGCATGCGCTGCTGCTGCGCCGCCGCGTGCTGCGCAGGCGGGGCCAGCCCCTGCGCCGCCGCCGTCAGCAGCCGGTGCTGCTGCTGCTGCTGCTGCTGCTGAGCGCCGAGCTCGGGGCTGCTGCTGCCGTCGCTGCTGCTGTGGCCGCCGGCGGAGTCGCCGCCGCCGGCGCCGGCCTGCGCGGAGGGCGTGCTGGGCTGCTCCTCTTGCTGGTCGGGAGTGCCCGGCTGATCCTCCTTGCCGTCGCTGCCCTGGGACGGCTGCCGCCGCGGCGCGCCGCTGAGCGCATGGCTGCCGCTGCTGCCGCCGGCGGCCTCGCCGGCGTGCGGCGCGGCAGCCTGCAGGGCGGCGAGCTCGAGGCGCCGAGCCTCCAAGGCTCGCTCATACGCCTCCTCATGCTCCTGCTGCAGGCAGACAAGCAGGGCAGGCGGGCAAGGTGAGGCGCTGGCTGCATGTGAGAATGAACCCCCGGCTGCGTGGGGCATCCCGGCAGGGGAGCTCGCGGGCGCGGGGCCAGCAGCGCGGGGCTGCCCTGCCGCATCGCACCACACCAACAGACAAAGGGCCGCAGTGGCCTGCCAGCGCTGGCACGGTAGTGAAGCGTGCAGAGGCCGGCTGTCCCTGGCTAGAGATTTCTAGCTCCCACCACACACCACAGCAACCCACTACACCCCCTACAACCCCCCTCCACACGCACACACCTGGGCCCGCAGCCGCCCCTCCAGCTCGCGCTGCTGCTCGGCCTCGGCGCCGGAGCCTGGCGCCGCCGCCGCCATCTCCTCGTCGCAGCGGTCGCCGCCGGCCACCTTCTGCGCCTTCTCCTCGGGCTGCTCCGCGGCAAAGGAGGTCGAGCGGGTCACCGCCTTCTTCTTCTTGCCCTTCTTGCCGCCCGCGGCGGCACCGCAGCCATCCTCCTCCATCTCCTCCAGCTCCTGCAGGCGGCGGGACGGGAAGGGTACAGCCCCGGAGGCAAGCAGTGAGCGGCGTGGCGAGCAGCAAGGCCGGTGCCGAGCCTGGCGGCGACAGGCAGGGAGGAGGGGCAGCCCCGGCATGCCAAGCCAAAGCAGCGGCCGGCAAACACCTTTACCCTAGCAACAAGCACACACATGCACTCAGCACGCATGCTCTTAGCACACCCAGCACTGGACCCCCCCCCCAGCCCCAGCCCCAGCCCTGCGGCCCACCTTGAGGAGAGCTTCCTGCCGCGCCTCGGCCGCCTCCTGCGTGGCCGCCTCCAGCACCTGCACGCACGCTGCGTGGCGGTGCTGCCCGGCCAGCTGCAGCGCGGTGGCGCCGCCGCGGGTGCGCACCAGCAGGTCCAGGCCGGGGCCTCCCGCCGCCAGCAGCAGCTGCAGGCAGCGAGCCTGGCCCGACATGGCCAGCCTGCAGAGGGGGGATGCGAGGGGGCAGAGAGCGGGTGAGGTGAGAGTGGGAGTTGTTGCCTGGCTGGTGGCTTGTGAGCATCAGGCAGGGACGGGTGCGGTTGGTGGGAGAAGCAGGAAGGCAGCCAGGAGATGGTCGGGAACAAAAACAAGGAATCGGCTGGAGGGCGTACGGGGTCAGACCGGCAGAAGCATGGCAGCAGCGCTCCGCAGTTGTGCGCGGGGCAGGCAGGCAGGCACCTGTGCAGCAGGGTGCAGCCTTCGGCGTCGCCGGCGTTGAGGCCCTCGGCACCGCAGCTCAGCAGGGCGCACACGCCGCGCACGGCGTCTGCCGCGGCCTGCCAGCCCACGGGCTCCTGCCGGCTTGCCAGGTGGCAGCCGTGGCTGCACGGTGGGCGTGAGGCAGGCGAGGGGGGCCGGCGGGCGGGATCAGGCGCGGCAACAGGGAGACTGGCAGCAGGGGGCTAGCAGCAGCAGAAGCGGGCCTGAACCCTCAACAATCAAGACAGAGAGCAAGTACGCCTCCCTCCACGTGCACCGCACAGGCCCAGCCAGCAGGCCGCTCACATGGACCAGTCGAGATCCACAGTGCAGGGCGCGCTTTCCTCCTGCGGCTGCGCCTCCAGGAGTGCCAGCAGCTCGGGGCTGCGACCCAGCGCGCCGCAGGCGGCCGCCACCGCCTCCTGCGCGCCCGCCAGATGCGCGGCGTGCAGGCGCGCGGCCAGCGCGGCGGCCGCGGCGGGGCTGCGCGCGCGCGCCACCGCCAGCAGCGCGCCCACGGCGGCCAGGCCGTACAGCCGTACCGCCACCTGGTCCTGCGCGGCGTCGCCGTCTGCGGCGCCGCCCAGCAGCGCAAACACAGCTGCCGCCAGGCTGGCCCCGCCGGCAACCAACTCGGCGTCGAGCTGGTCGGCGGCGGGCGGCTGCGTGGCCGCCAGCTGGCGCCACGTCAGCCCGCACCCGCCCGCCTGGCACAGGCGGTGCAGCGTGCGCAGCGCGGCGGCCTGCGTGCGCGCCTCGCCTGCCGTGCCGGCCGCCACCAGCACTGCTGCGGCGGCGTCGCGGCTGAGCAGGGCCGCGGAGGCCGGGGCCGGCAGGTGGCGCCCCTCTACGGCCGCCACAGCCAGGAAGTCCAGGCAGTGCCTGGTCAGGGGGTCGTCCTGCGTGGCGGGGAGGAAAGGCGGGGGCACAGAAGGACAAAAATGAGAAAAGGAGATTCCCTCGTGAGGGCACAGGGCGGCCGGCGTGGGGCATAGTTGCAACCCCGCCTGCCTGCGCAGCGGCTCAAGGCAGGTACGCTGGCGCGGCCCCGCCTCAGCCTGCAAACTCCCGGCAAGCTGCCAGCACGACCCCTTCCCTCCCTCTCACCTGCTGCCCGCAGGTCTGCAGAATGGCCAGCACCACAGCGGTGCCCTGCAGCTGTAGCTCCCCTGCCGTCTGGGCGGCGGCGGCGCCGTCCGCGGTGCGCGCCAGCAGGCGCTGCAGCAGGCGCGCCATGCCCCACACGGCGGCGCGCGCCACCTCGGGGCGCCGCCGATCCGCGGGCGCCTGCTCCTGCGCCGCGCGCCAGATGGCGGCGGAGGCGGCCTGCTGCTCCTCGAGGGCCGCGCCGCCGCGGCAGGCCAGGCGCGCCAGCAGCAGCAAGCCCTGCTCCCGGGCGCAGCAGTCGGAGGCGGCGGCCGCCATGGCGGCGGCGACCACCGGCACGCCGCCGGCCGCTGCCAGGCACCCTAGGTTGGCCTCGTGGCCCGCGCACACGCAGTGCAGCGCGCGCAGGCCGTCGCCAATGGCGGCCGCCGGCTGCGGCTGCCCCGGCGCGTCGCCGCTAGCGGCGGAGCAGAGCCGAGCGAGGGCTGCTGCCGCCGCGGGCACCGCGCCGGCCTGCCCCAGCGCGTCTTGCTGCTCGCCGCCGCAGGGCTGGCCGCAGGTGGTGCAGGCGGCCAGGCACAGCAGCAGGTGCAGGCCTGCCGCCTGCGCCGCCACGTCGCCGGGGTGCCGCCGCAGCGCCGCCGCAAGCTGCGCCGCGAGCGGGGCCGGGTCTGGGCGTGCCGCCAGCTCCTGCACAGGCGAGCGCACAGCACAGCCGTTGTGTGTGATGGCGGGGGGTGCATCTGGGCAGGGAGTGGCGGCCGTCGGGGAGCAGGGGCCCCAGCAAGCGGTGAGCGAGGCGCCCCATGGGGCCTGCGTCTCCCACGCCTTGCGTGGCCCGCCGCCGCCTCGTCTCCCTCCCGCGCTGTTCTCCCACCTCCCCACCCTGCTCACCTCGCTGCCGGGGCTGGCGCAGTGCCTGCACAGCTGCAGGCCGCTGCCTAGGGCCAGGCATGCCTTGGCCGCCACCTGCGCGCAAGGGCCGGGCAGGCGGGCGGCGTCAGAGGGGGTGGGGGGCGCAGGCGGGCTGACCCTATCCGGCCGCTGCCTGCCTCGCTTGGCCGCGGCTTGTTTCAGGAGTCGTTGGGACGCCCCCGGGCCCCCGAAAACCGCGCCGGCGGTTCGTGGTGGAGACCAATCGTCTGGGACAGCAGCCGATATGGGCTGGGTGCAAAAAGTGCACCCCGGCGGGTGGGGCCTCCCAGCCCCTCCAAGGGCCCCAGGAGGCATGAGGAGCGCACTGGGGGGCCCGGCACGCGCACCTGTGGCGTGGTCGAGAGCGCGAGAGCGCCTCCGCAGGCCTGCGCTGCCTCCAGGGGCAGGGTGGTGCCGCTCAGCAGCAGCCTGCCCTTGATAAAATCCAGCAAAGCCTCCGCCTTGGCCACATCGCCGCCAGCCAGCGAGCTCGAGAGTGCTGCTGCGGCGCTCGTCAGAATGCGCTCCTCTTCCTTGGCATCCGCGCTTCGTGACTCCTTGCTGCCTAGTGGATCAGTCATAGAGCGGGGCAGCTAGCCATGGCCCGGCTTCGGTGAGCACGTGCGGCTAGTCTACTCGGGCTGCTCCCCAGTGCGTGGGGGAAGAGTGGGGGAGGGTAAAGGCGCGCGGGAATGAGATAAGGTGGCGAGTCGGGTGGTCCATGGGCCCCATGCCAGCGGAAACCTGCGGCCGGTGCAAAAATCTCGCCATTGGGATATTTATCGCCGATGACATCCAACCCTTCCTCTTCCGACTCTGGAAGACGTTTACAGCCGTTTGGGACCGACATGCCGTTCGGCTCTTGCCGGCCGCACAGTCTCAGGTTGCGCGCGCCGGTGGGGAGGTGTGGTGGGGTGCGTCCCACGCGGGCCCCCGGTCTACTCAACAGCATGAAACGATCGACAGAATCATTTCCCGCCGATCAGCGGCGCTCCGGGGAATGGTTGGGGTGCAATCGCTGGATGGGCAGGCAAGTCACCGAGTTGTGGGCAAAGGTGCCGCCTTTCCGCGTCCAAAGTACGTGCCGAGGCGACAGGCGGGCGGGCGGTATGCACGGCGCACGGTTGGGGCGGCGCCGCCTGCCGCCGTTGCCGCCGGCCCCGGGCCTGCTCCCTTGCACCGCCCTTCACGTTTCCGAGGACAAGCCACAGGCACAGTAGGCACCCAGGGGGTTATGGGACAGGCCTGGGTGAGGTCGCAGCCACCACACGAGGGGCTGTGCAACACAGTCCCGCATGCCATCACTGATGGGGTGCACCATGGCACTCGCTGCCGATGCCATGGTGCTGGGTCACGCCTCTCCAACTATGGCTGGCCAGACAGTATGGGTTGGCAATCGGGCGGCGGCTGCATCCCCCCGCCGCCAGCGCTCTAGTCTCGCGTGCATGCGCGCCCACCAGCTTCCTTTGTGCAGAGGCGCGAGACGGCGAGAGGTCCAGGCCATCCCACCACACAGAACCGCTGCCTCTGTCCGCCGTGTGCGCCGCCCTCTGCCGCCAGAATGGCAGTCAGAGGCAAACAAGGAATGAGAGCACCACCTTGTTACATATCTTCTCTTACAGTGCGCAGAAGGTTTCTGAAAAAGTACCGTGTGTGGGGTCGTGAATGGCACGATTGCATGACGAGAAAAGCTCTACATATCACAAAGTTGGCTTGTCAAGGTTGGGCGAGGTAGGCTGATCTTCTCCACCTGGGCTGGGGAAGGCTCCTGCCCTTGCGCTCCGGCCAGCCGCCAGCCTGCCCTCCCATCTTCTCATTCCACCAGTACCGCCCCCTGGCGCTGCATCCAGCGCCATCTACCGCCTGCCCCACGCGCTGGGCTGCAGCAGGCCGCGCCCGCGGGCAAAGAGACCCTCCAGCGTGCCGGCACATGCGGGGCACTCCTTGTGGGCCTTCAGGTAGGCCACAGAGCACGGCACGCACAGGCTGACGTGGCCACACGGCACCCCCACAGCCGCGGGAGGCGCGTCCAGGCAGATGCAGCACTCCGCCGGGGGTGGTGGGGGCGCAGCAGCGGGGGGCGCTGGCGCCGGCGCCGAGGCAGGCTCCTCTGCATCCGCGGCCGCGGCTTGGCCGCCGCTGGGCTGCTCCTCCGCTTGGGCATGGCTGGGCTGCTCTGCCGCTGCTGCTGCGGGCTGCGCCTGTGCCACACCCTCATCCGCCGCCGAGCTGGCTGGCTCAGCAGGCACTGGTGCTGCCAGCTCTTCTGCGGCATCAGCAGGAGCAGCAGCAGCCTGATTGCCCAAATCTGCGGGAGCAGCCGCCTCTGCAGCAGCTTGGCTCTGTCCTGCCGCTGCGGCTGTGGGGCTGTCGTCATTGAGCACAGCTGCCTCTTGCAGGCGGTGTGCCACTGCTGCCACCTGCGCTGCCCCAGCTGCAGCCGCTGCTGCCTGGTCTGCCCGGGCTGCCGGGTGTTCGTTTGGAGCGTCTGCTGTTGCGTCTGGCGTGCGGGGCTCAAAGTCGGCTTCGGTGCTGCTGCTGCCGCCCTCGCCGGCCGGGGCTGGCAGCGAGGCCGCTGCAGAGGAGAGCGAGCCTCCCGCCGTCTGCCTTCCCGAGTTGGCGCTGCCGCTGCCACTGCCACCGCTCGCTGCCGAGCTGCTGGAAGCCCCGGTGCTGCCACCGGCTTTGCCGCTGCTGCTCGTGCTTCCTGCGCTCGCCCTGCTGCAGCCGCCGCTGCTGCTGCTGAGCAGGCTGGCTGCGGGCGAACCTGGCGGCGGCTCGCCTCGCGGCGGGCGAGGCGGCGGGACCATGCTGCCTCGCCTGCTAGCGGCAGGCAAGCCTGGGGGCGGCTTGCCTCGCGGCGGTGGCGGACGATACATGCTCCTAGCACTGCGGGTCATCGCTGCCCCATCTCCGTATGCCGAACCATAGCCATAGCCAGGAGGCGCAGGCGCAAAGCCCCAGGGCGGTGCCGCCATCACTGCGGTGTAGCCAGGTGGCACTGCCATGGGCGGCACTGCCATGGGCCCTGGGTAAGCGTATCCAGCAGCCGCATAGCCGGGGTAGTGTCCGCCGTAGCCAAATGCCCAGCCGTGAGGACCAGGTGCGAAATCCCTACAGGCGACGAGCAAAAGTGTGGCGGCACGTCGGCCAGGCGCAACCTTGGCGGTGGTTGCAGTGCAGCCACCCCCTCCCTGATCCCTTGCTATTGCATGCTGTGCGATTCAGCTGCATCAGCCATGAAGGCCATTCTGCGAAGCAGCCCAGGGCCAGGTTGCTGCGGGAGCGCACCAGCCGGCTGCCGCCGGGTCGCCGTGAGTGTAGGCTCGGGCCGCACTCCACGAGATGCCGTACTCCCCCTGCTCCGCGGCGCGTGCACGGTACGCAGAGGGTTCCATGGCCAAGGGCAGGGCGCCAAGTGTTCAAAGGCTGGGCACGGCCTGGCGGCGCTCCCGACCGGGAAGGGACCGACAGGGATCCCTGGGAAGACGAAAAACGCAGAGATCCAGGCGTGTGATCCAGCCCAGCGGGAGGCGCAGCACCCACCTCGCGGGCGCCGCCGCATCCCCATTCAGGCTGGCCCCGCCTCCTGCTGCCTGGCCCCTCGCTGACCAGTCAAGAACAGGATGTTACAACAATGTCATGGCGGAAACTAGCCTGTTGGCCTGCAAGTGTCACAAAAACTGGTGGGTGGGGCGGACAGGAGGCACGCACGGGGTGTGGCTGCGGGGCGGGTGGTACAGAGGCGGCGGCTCGGGCCCGGGAGGACAGCACGGCACACAGAGGAGCTGCCAGGGGGGAGCGCCGCTGCCGACAGCCGCCGGCAGCGCTCGGAAAAATGCTGTGGCGCGCCCGGCCGGGGGCGCGCATTGCAGTGCGAGGCGTGGGGGAGGAGAGCCAGCGGGTGCGGGCAGGTGTGTGTGTGCGCAGCATGGGTGCATGCATGGGCGCAGGGCTGGGGCTGGGTGAGCGCGCGGTCAGGAGAAGAGGTGTGATAGTGCCGATGCTTTATGGGAGGCGAGTGTGAGCAGGGCGGCAGGGCCAGCCCACGCCACACACCCGGGATTAGGGGAGAGGAAAGCAGCGAGCGGGAGGGGGAGAGAGGGAGCGCACAAGTCACAGAGAGCGGGGGCAGAGTGGGCCTGCTGGGCGGCGCGCCGGCCGCCCGCCCGCCGCACGCAGCAATACAACTCGCAGCTGAATAGAGGGGCGGCCGCGCGGCCTCCTGCGCGCCGGGAGGCAGCAGCAAGGGCGCCGGGCAGCGAGCAGAGCACAAACTATAGCCTAGGGAGGGCCGCGGCAGCAGGCCAGCTGCGGGCGGCCGCTGCCAGGCCACGGCCAGGCCAGGCCGCCAGGCGGGCCTGCGCGGGCGTGCAGGGCGCGCGGGCACTACCGCCGCGGCAGCATGCCGCCGCCGGCGCCGCCGGCCGAGGCCGCCGCCGCCGCCGCCGCCTCCACCGCCTCCCACTGCTGCCGCCGCCGGTGCTGCTCCGCCTCACGCTGCTGCTCCGCCTCCTCGCACTGCTGCCGGCACCGCTCATACAGCTGCCCATCAATCTCCTGGAACATCTTCCGCACATTCAGCGTCAGGCTGCGGGGCAGAGCAGCGGCGGGGCAGGGGGGCAGGGGGCATGGGGGGGCCAGCGACAGGTTGGCACGTGCAGGGGCAGCGGCAGGCACGCAAGCAGGTGCCTGATGGCAGGCAGCGCCTCCCCGCCCGCCTGCTCCGCCCCGCCACCCGCGCGAGCCACGCCTGCGGGGCTCGTGGCAGCAGGCAAGGCAGGCAGGCAGACAGGCAGGCAGGCAGGCAGGCAGCACCACGCCCTCCCCACCAAGGAGGCAGGCAGCACAAACGCCCACCCACCCCGCCCCTTGACCGGAGGCAGGCACGTCACCACCACCACCACCCAGCCGCCCACCTGTGAACCGCCGGGTTCCAGTGGTGCTTGGCGTTGTGCTCCAGCGCGCCGATCACCAGCGGCAGCACCGTCTCGCGGTGCTGCGCCACCAGCTGCACAATGTACTCGTTGTTCCACAGGAACAGGCTGCGCTCGGCCACCTGCGGGAGGCGCGGCGTGGCGGGGAGGGAGAGAGGGAGGGAGGGAGGGAGGTGGGTAGGCTGCGCCACAGCGGCAGGGTGGAACCGCGCGCGGGGGGAGCCGCTCGGGCTCTGCCGGGCACCGCTTCGCGGCCCGCGGCCTGCCGGCGCCGGTGGCATGCAGGCACAGCCAGGCCACGCCGCCACCCGCAGGCACCGGCAGGCCACGGGGAGGCCGGCAGGCACGCCCCACACACACACACCTGGAAGTGGCTGCTGGTGAGGCAGCGGGACACCTGGCGGAACAGCGGCTCCTGCACCCGCGCAAACTCCTCCGCCTGCACCGGGCGGGCGCGGCGCGGCACGGGATCGAGCGTAAGAGGTCCGGACCCATCAGGGACCCGACATAAACAAAATATAAAAATGAACGGCTTGGGGCATGGAACCTGCCTCCACCGCCAGCGCAACACAGGAACCCTGAGCCCCGTTTAGGAAACAAAGCACAGGCCCCCCCCCACCTGCGTCAGCTCCAGCACCTCCTCCAGCTCCCCCAGGAACAGCACCTCCTTGTGGCTGTTGGTCAGCGGCCAGAACTTGAGCAGCGAGCGGATGACGGCGTCCGCCAGGCGAGGGTCCTTCTCCACAAACTGAAGGGGAGGAGGCGGGGTGGTGGGTGGGTGGGTGAGGGAGGGTGAGGAGGGGTGTGAGGGTGAGGTGAGGTGAGGTGAGGTGGGGTGAGGTGACGTGAGGGTCAATTGGGTGAGGCGAGGCGGTGCGGCAGCGAGTGCGTGAGTGCGAGCTGAAGGCCAACATAACGACAACAGGGAGTGGGAGGAAGCAGGCGTGGAGAACACGCTGGAGTGCACGGCAGCGGGGCCCTCGAAGCGCCTCCCCACGACGACCGGGCGCAGCGCTGCGGCCCCTCTGCGCTCGGCCCATCACACACGCCTGCGCCTGCGCCTGCGCCGGCGCCGGCGCCGCCGCCACCGCCACCCGACGCGCCGAGAGGGCGGCTCACCTGCGTGACGCAGTAGGAGAGCTGCTGGTGGTAGGCGGGGAGGCACTTGGGCTTGTGCAGGGGCATGAGGGCGCGCTGCAGGAACTGCTTGTGCTCCTCCTTGAGCGGCAGCGCAAAGCCGTTGATGATGGACCCCAGGATCTCCAGCAGCTCTGCGGGAAGGAAAGGACGGAGGCAGGAAAGAAAGAAAGAAAGAACGATAACGGTCTCGGGTGAGGGCAGGGCGTGGGCGGGAAGCGGGGAGTGAAAGGCGAGGGTGGGGCTGGGGAGAATCATGCGTGCTGCCCGCGGCGCCGCCCTGCTGCCCGATGCCGCCCGCCCGCCTCACAGGCTGCACAAGCTGCCGCCCCTGCCGGCCGCCGCGGCCACCACAAGCCCCGCCCCAGCGCGCACCCGCGATGCCGTTGTGGTGCTCCGTCTCAAACACGAATCGGTAGAAGACGAAATTGATGGCCTTGCGGATGAAGGGGCGGTGCACCATGAACTTGCCTGCGGGTGGGTGGGCAGAAGGGCTGTGTGTGTGCCGAAAAAAGTGTGTGTGTGTGTGTGTCTGTGTGGTTCGCAGCTGCGGCGCGCGGGGCAGAACGCATTCCCAGAACAGGCCCAAGGCCAGGCGCGGCCTAAAAACGCCGGCGCACCGTAGATGCGGTGCAGGATGGTTTTGAGGTAGTCCCGCTCCCGAGGGTCCTCTGCAGCAGGGGGATGGGGCGAAGCGGGCAGGTGTTAGCACTGTATTCCTCTTTGTATTTGTTTTCTTTAGCAGGGAGGAATGCGACTGCAGCTGCTCTTGTGCCAGGCTGACGCGGCGTGCGGCAGGCAGGCAGGCAGGAAGGCGGCCGGCCACCCAGCCGCTGAGGCGCACAAGGCGCAAGGCGGCACCCGGCGCTCCCTCCGACCAGAGGCAGAGGCACAGGCAGAAGCCCGGCCCACGGGCACGTAGTCCTAGCAGGCGCGGGGCATCACAGCCGCCTGCCACCACACGCCCCGCCCTACCCCACTCAGCAGGTGCGATGCACTGCAGCTCACCTCACTCGCGCCCCCCCCCCCCCCCCCCCCGCCAACCCCCCCACCCACCACCACCACACCACCCACCCGAGTCGAACAGGTCCAGCAGGTGCACCACAAAGTTCTGGTCGATGTGCCGCTTGGCCACCTTGGCGTCGGTGTCGGAGGAGACGACGTAGCGCAGCAGGAACTCGTACACTATCTGCGGGGGCGCGGCAGGGCGGTACGGGGCGGTACGGGGCGGGTCGGGCGGTATCCCGGGGCGGGGACATGGGCACGGTACCGCAGGCACCCACCCATGTGCCACCCTCCAGCCCAAACACCTCGCGACACCACACAAACACACACACACTCACCACCCCGCCCCTGCACCCACCTGCAGGTGCGGCCAGGCGGGCTCCAGGTTGGGCTCCTCCTCATCCAGGTCAAAAGACTCGGCATCGTGCGCCTTGAGCGGGTGCAGGGCGCGGAAGAGGTTGGAGGTGAGCATGAACATGATGTCGTTGGATACCTGCGGTACAGGTGGGGCGGTACGTGCGGTACATGGTGATGCACAGCCGGGCAGGGTGCGCGGTTTGCGATACGGGACGCCAGGGCGGGAGATTCAGAGTCGGTCGGAGGGGCGGCGAGGTGGGCGGCCTATTGACACATACCCCCCTGGCATCATACCAACACCCCTGCGGCGGCGCAGACGGCTGCCTGCTGCCAGCCGGCTGGCCCGGCGCCCAGGCAGCCAGCGCGTGCCTGCCAAGCCCATCCCATGCCCTCCGCGTCGCCGCGGCAGCAGCAGCACGGCCCCTCCTCCTTCTCCCTGCCGCCGCCTGGCCCCCACTCCCTCCCGGGTGTCCCCCCCACCGGCTCCCCGCTGCCGCGCACGCACGCACCCCCCCGCAGTCCCCCTCACCGTCTCTGTGAACTTGCCGCTGCCGCTGTTCACATAGTCCACCAGCTCTAGTAGCGTCTGGCGCTTGACTTCTTTTTCCCGCACGTGCGCCGTGGGGTCGGAGAAGTCAAAGGAGAAGGCGCAGAGGTGGAGCTTGCGCACAAACAGGGCCTGCTTGTCGCCCCCCGGCACGTCCCGCAGCAGCGGCAGCGGGTCTGCGGGCGGGCGGGGCGAGGGGGGCGGGCGGGAAGGTGGTGTGCGGCGCGGGACGGGCAGGGCGGGGTCAGGGCGGGCCAGCTTTTCTCTCTATTGCGCACGCCGGGCCCTGCTGCCTCCTCATGCACCCTCTGCACCTTCTGCGCAGCAGCCCGGGATTGCGGCAGCGCGCGCCCCCGGGGGCCCCACCTGCATACTGCCGCCGCATCTCCTCTGGCGTTAGTGGCGGCAGGGACTGCCGCTGGTCGGCGGGTGCTGCTGCGGGCCCATTGGCACCCAGCCGGCTGTTCCCATCGGCTACCACGGACTGCCTGGCTGCGTGCAGGCCGCCCGAAGCGCCCATGGACTGCCGCTCCTGAGGCGTGCTCTTGCCGCTGGTTTTGCCGCCTGAGGACGAGCCCGACAGCTTGGCTTTCATTTGTCGGAGCCTGCAGCGAGGGGAGGCACGGGGAGGGGGAGGATGAGCCCTGGCCAGGGCTGCTGAGGGAATAAAGCCCGGCCCGATCCTCCCTCGCCTCACATCGTGGGCTAGCGCTTTCCGGGGCCCCACAGAGGTGTCAGACGCCCAGGGCCCCAGCCTCAGGCATAGCGGGGGCGCCCAGGAGGCTGAGGAGGGTGCGAGGGGCGTGCGGCAAGAGGGTGCAGAGAACCCCAGTACCCAAGGACGTTCACGGCGGCAGGATCACAGGTCTGCAAGCCGCGATGGGGCGCCGGGCAGCCCCAAAGCGGGTGGCGAGCGGGAAGAAGGGCCCAGCACGGCCAGCAGTGCCAGTGCCATTTTCCGGCTCCCAAGCTCGCCAATTGCTTTCGATCGCTAGCATCGCACCTCCCCTGCCTCCGCAGCACTTCCCCCTGCCCCCACGCTCGGTTGGAGCCTGGTCGGCGCTCCTGCAGGTTTTCTCGATCCCCAGACCCCGCAGATTCCAGCCACAGCTCCTACCAACCCCCACACGGCGGTAGGGGCGCCATGGCCACCGCAGGGCCCATGCTCCAGTTGCCAGCCGCCACGGCAGTGCTCCTGGCGGGCGCTGCAGGCAGCAGGCTGTACCCCCTCAACGCCTCGGGCACCCCCAAGGTGCTGCTGCCCGTGGCCAACCGGCCGCTGCTGACTTTCCCGCTGCGCATGCTGGAGGAGAGCGGCGTCGTCGACGTCCTCCTGGTGCGTCGCTGCCTCTCGCTGCAGCCGGCTGGCTGGCCAGCTGCATGCTGCAGCCTGAGCTAGCAACTGCCTGGGCCGCCAGCAGCAGCACAGACAGCACCAGGATGCAGCGGCGCAAGTTTGGCCCGGCGACACGACGGCGGCGGACAGCGGTGCCTCGAGTGCTTTTGGGTTGCTTGCTGCCCTTGCGCAGGTGTGCGAAGGGGAGCTGGCAGCGCAGGCGGTGCGCGCCTGGATAGCCACCAGCTACAACGGCGGCCTGAAGATAGAGGTGCGCCTGCCCAGCCGTGGCGCCAGCAGGCGATGCCTGGTGCCCAGGCTACGTTTTGGGGCCGGCGCGCCACGCACTCTGTCGCTCCGCTGCTGCATCTTGCCGCTCTGCGCGCTGCGCCCAGCCGGCCCCTGCCCTCAAGCAGAGCCACCTGTCCTGCCGGGCGCAGGTGGTGCGCGTGTCTGAGGGGCTGCCCGCTGTGGACGCGCTGCGCCACGTCATCGACCGCGTGCGCACAGACAACTTTGTGCTGCTGAGGTGCGGGGCGCCCCCAAGGAGCCCAGCTGCTGGTGGTGGTGGTGTTGGCGCTGCTGCTGCTGCTGCTACTGCTCTCCCAAGGCGATGAGGAGAACCCCAAGAGTCGGCCCCCAGCTGCCGCTGCCGCAGCTGCTGCTACGGCCCCCCCTGCTGCCTCGGCCCATGCCCTCGCACCCATCGACCCCCGCCTCCTCCCTATGCTGCCCACCCCCGCCTGCGCAGCGGTGACGTCGTTTCGGATGCCAGCCTGCGGGCGCAGCTGCTGACTCACCACGTGCGGGAGGCGGCGATGACGGCGCTGCTGGGGCGGCGCAGGGTGGCTCCCACCCAGGAGACCAAGGCCGGCCGGGCGCCCAGAAACGTGGACTACATCGGTACGCGGGCGCCGCCTCCCTGCTCCTGCGCCTGCAAGCCCAGGCTAGGGGCGCTGCTGTGCTTGGGGCGCCGCCGGTGCGCTGCCGGTGCCGTGCGCCGGCGGCAACCGCTGTGGCAGCGGCGGCAGCCGCCGGCGCGGCGCGGGCCGGGCGGGCCTGGCATTTTTTTTGGCGAGCCGAGCCGAGGCTCCCGCGCCAACGCGCATGCATGTCCGCCCTTGCGCCGCCGCCCGCTTTGCAGGCCTGACTGGCGGCGACCGGCTGGCGCTGTATGTGCACAGCCCGGACACCATCAAGCAGCTGCTGCTTCCGCCCAGCTTCCTGCGCCGCTTCCAGGACATCCAGATCCGCACCGACCTGGTGGACATGCAGGTGGGGGGGAGCTATCCGGTACTGCCATGCTGGGGGCTGGCCGGTACCGCCAGGCAGGGGCTGGCGGGCCGGCAAGGGATGGCGCCGTGGTGCGGGTTGCTGGCTAGCGGGAAGGGTGCTGCCTTGCCCCTGGCCCTGCCGCCTCCCCTCGCCCCTCCACCCTCGTCGCGGCTGCCCAAAACCTCCGCCCCTGCCTCCCGCTGCTGCCACCCTGTGCCGCCCCGCCTCACTCCCTCTTGCTCCCCAGCCTTGACTCGCGGTACCGCCTGCCCCGCTGGTCCCGAGCAGGTGTACGTCTTCCACACGCCCACGCTCAAGGCGGTGCTGGCAGCCAACGAGAAGCTGAAGCACCTGGAGGAGCAGCTGGTGCCGCACATGATCCGGTACCAGCTCAAGCCGCGGCGCAGCGTGGGCGAGGAGGAGGCTGCCGCCCTGGCCGCCTCCTACCCGGCGGCAGCAGCCGGCGGCGGCGGCGGCCTGGCAGCGCTGGAAGGCAGTATGGCTGACCTGTCGCTGTCGGGGCTGAGCGGCAGCAGCGCGGCGGGCGGCGGCGGCGGCGGCGGCGGCACGCCGGAGTGGTACTGCTGCGCCTACCTGGCGCCGGAGGGCAGCTTCTGCCAGCGCGCCAACACGCTGCAGGGCTACGCCGACGTCAACAGGTGCGGGTGTGGCAGGGTGTGCAGGGGTGTGTTGGGTTTACTGCCACGCTGGCAGCAGGCGTCTGCTCCCCGCCACCACCGCCACTGCCCCACACACACGCACACACAGAAACGACAGAAACGGAAGCACGCACGCACGCGCCGCCTGGCCGCACACACGGTATTGGAAGCACGCGCCACAACGCCGCCGCCTCGCCGCCACCTTGCCGCCGCCTCGCTGCCGCGCCCGCCGCAGGGACGTGATCACGCCGCAGAATGCGGCACGTGTGTTGCGTGAGGATCCCAACCCCAAGTACGACAACTTTGTGGCGGGCAGCGTGGCGGTGGGCACGCGCGCCGCCGTCTCGCCGGCCAGCATGGTCGGAGCGGAGAGCGTGGTGGAGGACCGGGCCAGCGTGAAGCGGTCGGTGGTGGGCGCCGGCTGCGTGGTGGGCACGGCCAGCAAGGTAGGGCACGGCGGCAGGCGCAGTGGGGCTGCGTGGGTGCCAGCTGGGTGGAGGGCGGGCAGGCGGTGCTGCGGGGGTGGAGGCCGCCTGCAGCCCCCTGCCCTGCCGGTGCCCCCCCTGCGGGCTGCTGCATGCAGGCCCAGTGTGTGGTGCCGCCGGCCGTCGTGCGGGGCAGGCCGTGAATGCTGCTCCCTGCAGCTGCCTACGCCTGCGCCTGCCTGCCTGGCCCTGCCTGCCTGCCTGACCGTGCCTGCCTGCCCCGCCCCCCTCCCCCTGCCTGCTCGCAGGTTGTGAACAGCGTGCTGATGGACGATGTGCGGCTGGGCGCCAGCTGCCAGGTGCACAACTGCATACTCAGCAGCGGCGTGAGCGTGGGGGAGGGCGTGCGGCTGCGGGACTGCCAGCTGGCGCCGGGGTACGCCGTGCCCGCCGGCGCGGAGCTCACAGAAGAGGTGCTGCCGCCACAGTTGCTGCGGGATTGAGCTGTAGTGTTTACATAATGTTATTGGCTCCTTGAAGAGGGCCTAATGAAGAGCAGGCGCATGGGGGTCGCACAGCACAGAAGAGCGACCGCAGGGGCCACGTGGCGGGCGGCGATGGGGCCACCCGCCGCCGCCGCCTCGCCGCCGTACTGCGCATGTACTCCAGCCGTCATCACGCGACCCCCCGCGGCACCAGGGCACAGTTCCCCCAATGGCGGGCATGTATGAGCGTCACAGGCACGGCCCGCCTGGAACGAGCGCCTGGGCCGATGGGGCCGAGGCGGGGCAGGGCGGTTTCACCGCTATGCCCACCTACGAGTACCGAGGCAGCGGCGGACTGCTCGATGGAGATGACCCTAGGGGCCTCAAGTGCGTTGTTTTTGCGCGTCATGATGGTGGCGCTCGCTGCCCTGCAGAAGCACGTTTGCTGCCCTCTCTGTGCTGCATCCGCCGCTGCACCGTCCATCTGGTTCCATCCGGCGGCATCTGGGGCGCCACCCAGCCGAACCAAATCGTCGGAGCCGCAGCACAGGGCCGCTGGCAGCGCCGCTTGGGAAGCCAGATCCCTGGGGTACTTGTTCGCCAAAGAAACCTGCAACCGCCCCGCCTGCGCCGGCCGCGTGCCCGCCGCCGCTGCGCCCCCTGCCGCCTGTTCCGCCTCGCACCCAGCCGCGGCCGTGCGCGCCCTTGCAGGAAGCGCAAGACCCTGGCTCGCAGGGTGGCGTCCCACGCGGTGAAGATTGTGGTGGGCGTGCTGCTGCTGGTGGCGTGCGGGGGGTGGCTTTGGGCGCACAAGCACAAGCGGGCCCTGCACGAGCACCTGGACACCACCCTCACACACCTAGACGTGGCTGAGTCGGACAAGAGTGAGCCCTGCCCCCGCGGGCGTGGCGCCAGCCGCTGATCGCAGCGGTGGCGCCCTGGCTGCCGCCCCCGCGGCGGCGCAGGCTTTGCCGCATCGCCCGCCTCGCTCGCCTGCCCCGCAACGAAGCAAACCATCTGCCCAGCGCCGTCTGCCGAGCGGCGTCCTCGCCCGTCACACCCGCCCGCGCCTGCCGGCCTCCCCGCCTGCTGCCGCAGGCCACCTGCGCCGCCTGCTGTCGGAGCGAGAAGAGCGGCTCAAGTCCAAGGATCGGGAGCTGGGCGAGCTGCGGAACCGGCTGGAGCGGCTGACCGGCGAGCTGGGCAACACGCACAACAAGGTGGGGGCGGGGCGGGGTGGGCGGCGGCGGGCTGTGGGCGGGGCCTGCGGCTGTGGCCGGGCGCAAGGCCGCGCTGACCGGGAGCTCGGTTTGCATCTCCCGCCTTGCCTGCTGCTGCTGCTGCTGCTTCGTCTGCTGCGTGGGCCTGGCTGGTTGGGGGGCGGGTGCTGAGGCGCGGCAGGCAGGCAGGCAGGCAGGCCGGTGGGCGCCTCGGGGCTGTGCAGCTTGGGTCCCCCGTCTTGCCGCCTTGCGCCTGGCACCACAGCCTCCTTGCCGGGCCTCCCTTGCCGCCGCAGCACTCCCAGCACTCTGGCAAGCTGGAGCAGGACCTGTTGAACTGCCAGGGCGAGCTGCTGGTTGCCAACAACAGGTGGGATGGGTGGGGCTGGGCTGCGCTGGGCGCTGGGCGGGTGGCGGCGCCATGCAGTGGGCGGCCGCAAGCCCCAGCCGCGCGGCCGCGTGCCCCGCCTCGCCGCTCCCGCCCCGTCCCTGCCTCCTGCCTCTCGCCACGGCCCAGTGCTCAGCGGCGCAGCCAGCACCCCCGAGCGCTGCTGCGTGCCTGGCGTGGTGCAGGGTGAAGGAGGTGGAGGCGGTGGCGCGGGAGCAGGAGCAGCTGGCGGCCACGTTCCAGGAGCGGCTGGAGGCGGAGACGCGCAAGCAGGTCAACCAGGTGAGGGCAGGGGGGCGCCCCCTCCAGGCTAATTTCGTAGGCATCTTAACACACATTTGAGGATGTGTTACTGATCGGAACAATATGTAGTAATGCTCAGGGGTCAGCGAACACGTTTTCTGCTGATCCAGATGATTCAATATGCCCTGGCATGCATGCCACGCCGCGCACGCTGAGCATGCTGTGCCGCGCCCGCCACGCCTGCTGCGCCCGCAGGAGTCGGCCCAGGTGCAGGAGAACGGCTACCTCCGCAAGGAGCTGCAGGAGTGCCAGGCCAAGCTGCAGCGCAGCGCGGCGGGCAACCTGGACCCCACCTTTCTGGCGGAGCAGCAGCGGCTGCGGGAGCAGGAGGCGTCGGCCAAGGCCAAGCTGCACGCCTCGGCGACCCCCGAGAACCTGGCCACCTGGCGGGGCCACCTGCCGCCCGGCCCCGCGCCCATCCCGCTCGCCCAGCAGCAGCAGCAGGGCGGGGGGCAGCAGCAGCAGCAGCAGCAGCAGCAGCCGCAGCAGCAGGCGCAGCAGCAGGACCAGATCCCGCAGCCGGTGCAGACCCAGCCCCAGCTGCAGCCCAAGCCAGTGCAGGCCCCCGGGCAGCCGGGGCAGCAGCAGGCGCCCCAGGAGCACAAGGCCCCGCAGCCGCAGCAGGTGGTGCAGGAGCAGGCGCACCAGGCGCCGCAGGCGCAGCAGCAGCAGCAGCAGGGGCAGCAGCAGGGGCAGCAGGAGATCCCCAAGCCCACAGGCAAGCGCAGGAAGGGGGGCATGATGGCGCGGCTGCGCGAGGCGCGGCAGCGCCGCGCGCGGCAGCGCGCCCGCCAGGCTGCGCAGGGCGGCCACGCCTTGAGCCAGCTGGAGCAAGCGCTGGGGCATGAGGCGCATGAGGATGAGGAGGAGCATGCGCAGCCTGTGCCTGTGCAGGAGGAGGAGGAGGAGGAGGCGATTGAGCAGCACCCCGAGCGCCAGTGGCCCTGATGGCACGCAGCTGAGCCCACCACCTCCCCCCCGCCCCGCCCTGCCGCAGGCTAGCCTGAGGCATTGCAGCAACACCGATCCTTTCACCCTGCTGATTCACCTTGATGCACGTCGGCGCCCATTGCCGATATGCCCACCACTCCCGCCGGGCGGCGCCCTCTCCCACCGCTCTCCTGAACCGCCCCGTGTGCCCTCTTGTGGCAGCCCTACCCTGCTCAGGCTGCCACGCTGATCCGTGATACCGGCGCGCCCTGCGCCTGGCCTCCGGGCCCACCGGCCACACACAAATTTGCAGCAATGTCGTTTCATCGGGCCTCCTTGCCCTCATTTTGCCCCTCGTGTCCACCTGCTCTCTCCCCTGCTGTTGCACCGCCCCTGGCCTTGCCGGGTGCCATCCTGTGTAAGTGCACAAAATCCACCGACGTGTACAGCAGCTGGGAGCAGGGCAGTAGCGGTTTGCTTGCACAGAACACCGCCTTTCGGAGCGGCTGCCAGCTGGCGGGAGCGGGTCAACCGGCTGCACCATGCTGGCTGCCCTCCTGCTGCTGCTGCTGCCGCCGCCGCTGCTCCCACTCTGGCCGCAGCAGGCCAAAGGCGAGCTCGTCCACCAGCTGGCCGTCCTTGAAGGCGGCCTGCCGCAGGCGGCCCTCCTGTTGGAAGCCCAGCTTGCGCAGCACCGCCTGCGAGCCTGCTGGGCATGGGAGGGAGGGAGGGAGGCAGGCAGGCAGGGCTGCAGCCTTGGCAGGCCCGTAGGCAGACCAAAGCAGGCGCGCTGCCGTGCAGCCACTGCTTGCAGCTGGGGAAGCAGAGCGACGGTGGACCCGCCGCGGCGGCGGCGGGCGGCCCGTGCCTGCGTTGTGGGCGTAGCAGCGGGCGTAGATGCGGTGCAGGTGGGGCAGGCGGGCCCAGGCGCTGTCGATGGCGGCGCCCACCGCCTCGCTGGCGATGCCCCGGCCCCAGTGCCGCCGCGCCAGCCAGAAGCCCAGCTCCGCTGCACCAGGGCCATGGAGGGAGAGGGATGCCCTGGGAAGCTGGGGCAGGCGCCAAGGCCTCCAGCGCGCCTCCGCTCTCCATGCAAGGGCAGGGCTGCGGTGGCCGCGCGCCTCGCCGCCTCCCGCCCTCACCCGACCGCTCATACACGTCTCCCTGGGGGTGTATGCCCACGCCGCCAACCGCCTCGCCGCCCACGACGATGGCAAAGGCCTCTGGGGGTCCCTGTGTCGCTGCAGTGCATGGGCTCTGGAAGAGGGGGTCTGCAGTGGTCCTTATAATGTGTGTAAACATTACCAGAATGAAAATCGGTGCTTTGGTCTGTGTTTTGGGGAAAAGACAGGGTGGCCGGCAGGGGATGCCGCCGGTCGGCGGCAACAGCGAGCGGGCACGGTTTGGCGCGCACGCAGCCAGCGCCCAAGCAAGACTGCCAACCTGCCATGGCCTCCAGAAACTGTCGAGCATGCTCCAGGGTGTATGGATGGGCGATGCGGTTCCGCACGCAGAGCCAGACGGACTTGTCGTTCAGCGCTTCTGCCATCGAGGTGGCGTCGGTGAGCTGCCAAGGCCTCACGGTGCACCGCTCCAGCTCGATGCTCAGCGATGGCTGGGGCTCGCCCCCATCGGCATGCATCGCTGGCAGCCGCCCTGGGCGTGTGCGCGAGTGCGCTGGTACGGGCCGCCTTGCACAGACAGCGGAGAGCGGCTGTGGCGTCCCAAGAGGACGCCTGGGGACGATACCAGGGCGTGAGGGCGGCGGCTGCGTGCTGGGGCCTGCAGTGACAACTGGACTTGGCCAAGCTGTTCCCAGGTGGCAGGCGCCAGCGGGAGAGGCAGCATCAACGGACGCACATCGACACCCGCTGCACAACCCATCTTGCCAATTCCTCCATTTAGCTGCCTGCCGCAGCCTGGAGCACCAACTGCAGTCGGTTGCCGCATCATCTAGCGCCGCAGCGGGGTGCTTGACCGCACCTGCAGCACCGGTAAGCCATCCCTCAACGTCTTTCAGCTTCAGATCAAACTTCTCAGCCAGCATGAAGAGAGCGGAGCTCGATTCTGCGGCATGCGCGGCCACATTCCAGGCCCTGCCGCCTGACCTGCTGCTGCACATTCTTGGGTGAGCGAATGCAGTTGCGTTGCGGTGCAGAGCAGGGACAGCGATGCTGTGGACGGACAGCTGCTGCTCCCGCCTTGACGCCGCCATGTGCCGCCAATCCTCAATGCCGCCATGTGCCTCTGCAGCCTGTTGTCGGCGCAGGACCTGGCTGCTGTGTCGATTCAGGTCGGTGCGCAAGCACAGAAGCAGGCCGCGCACTGGCGCCAGTGATTGCCTTGCCGCGCCGCAGGGACGGCGGCAGCAGAACCCTGAAACCACCGCCACGGGCTTGGCCACCACCCCAGTTGCTGACTGAATGGCCCTGCGCATCGGCGCCCTGCAGGACACCTATGTACGCCAGGTGGCATCCGACCGCACCCTGTGGGAGCCGCTGGCGCTGGCTCGCTGGCCAGGCGCCGACGCGGAGCGGCAGTACGCCGGCAACTGGCACCGCCTGTACCTTGTCCGCGCCCCGCTGAACCACACCTTCCCCCTGGCCGCCGACCGCGTGCGGGCGGTGACGGCCGCACAGCAGCAGAGGCACGCGGAGCAGCAGCAGGTGCAGAGAGGCGCTGGCAGCAGAGGCGAGTCGTCTGCTGCGGCAGCAGGCGCTGGCGGCCAGGGCGGGCACAGCGGCCGGGCGGCCAGCGTGGCAGCGCTGCCGCACCTGGCGTTTGAGGATGTCATGCGGCAGACCTTCAACGCCGGGCTGGCCTGCAGCAAGTGAGCGCCGCTTGGGTGCTACGCCAAGCCTGGGGCAATGCGCCTGTGCACCCTGGTAGCAATGGCAGAGCTTCTGTGCTGATGGTACACCACCACTTTGGCCTACCCTTGACCCTCACTCCCTGCCACCCCCCGCACGTGCAGGGACAGGGCGGTGCGGCGGACAGCGGAGTGGCGGGAGCTGAAGACGGACCTGACGTGGTGGGCCACCCAGCGGCCCGAGGTGCGCGCCCGCAGGCCACTCGGTGCATGCATGCATGTTCAAGCCACCTCGAGGGCCTCCATTGCTGAGCTCCAAAAGGAGCAGAGCTTGGGATTGAGGATGCCAGCCTCAGCGGCAGGCAGCCTGAGAGACACCCAAGTCCTCAGTGGGTGCTGCCGCCGCCATGTGCGCAGGTGGTGGTGGCGTTCATCCGCAGCACCCACGAGGCGCTGGCGGCGGGCGGGCGCGGCGGGTGGAGCGACACGCCCTGGCGCCGCTCCGCGGTGGCCTTCCTGCTCGACCTGGGGCTGCTGGTGGGGGCGCACGCCAGCGTGGCCAACCGTGTGGCGTCAGAGGCGCGGGCGCTGGACCGCGCCATTAGCGCCGGTGAGGCGGCAGCCCGCACCGTAGCTTGACGGTCGGGCCTTGCTGCGCGTATGCGTGCCTGCTGCTGGCGCTGGGCGTAGCGAAGCATGCAGGCTATGCGCGGGGGCTGAGCTTGTGCCGCTGCCGCTGCAATGCACGCCTGCTGCAGTCCAGCGCGAGGCGAGCTCGGCGGTGGCGGGGCCCGACGGCATCCCAGCAGAGCACTGGTGGTTCAACTGAGCCTGCCCCAGGAGGCTGTGCCTCCGCTGGCAAGCAGTTCGTGTCCGCGGGGCAAGAGGAGACCGACATAAATTTCAGCACTGCAATTCTTGATTCTGGGGTTGAGTTGGTCTCTGCGGCCGGCGGCAGCGGCAGAGCGCGGCGACGTCCAGCGCATCGGCCACCCTGCGTTTCGTGTTTTTTTTAACTTGCGTTCCCTGCACAATGTATGGCGTAATTCGATGTACTTGAAAGACTGCTCGGAGCCGGCAGGGTTGGAGAATCAAGCAGGAGAGAGTGGCATGGGTGGTTGGGCGGTGGTTGGCGCGAACCTCGGCGACGACAACAGCTGCGCTTGTATGATTCGCGCCTTCATCTTTGTGCATGCAAATTGAGGGCTGGGGATGCCCATCTGTGATGGAAAACGCTGAACTGGTCGCCTGAATCCAGGAAGACAGGGAGAGGAAAGGAGGGGGAAGCTGGTGGGAGCACAGTGGGAGCTGGCCAGTGGCCTTCGCATTCTTCACTCTGGCCGCTCCACCAAGCCAGACAGGGAGGCTGTGAGCTCCCAACAAGTGGACCGGCGCAGTGGGTGCTCTGCAACCCGTTTCTGTGCCAATTGGCAGCTCTTGGCACTGAATGAAGCCCCCAGGAGGCGCCCAGTCTCCCAGGTGAGCCGTGCGGCCCTCCTGCGCAGGAGGCTCCAAGGCCACAACGTTGTGGAAGCCACACGCACAACTGGTCAACACTGCCCACCAGCAGCTCATTTGCTATCGCCTGCACCTGACTCGGCACCTGTGCCGCCGCCTGCTTTGCGCTGCAGGGGTGCTGGCAGCCGTGGCAGCGGCGGCGCCCGCCGCACCTTCCCGCCGCGTATCACTGCCCTGCTGCTCGCCGCGGCGCTCGTCGCAGCCTGGATGTTCAGCAGCAAGCGCGCGGCACAGGCAGGCAGCGGCACGCAGGTCCGGGCACCATCGCCGCCACCACGCGCAGCTCTCAACGAGGTGGCAGCTGCGCGGGACGCAGGCGGCACCCTGGCGGTCGGCACCATGGTAGTGGCCGCCAGCGAAAACAGAGTGGATGCTGGGGCGCCAGCTGTGGTCAAGCTGGTCGGCACAGGCCCAGCCCACACAGCCGCAGCGCAGCAGCCCGGCCTGTTTGCCAGCCTGCCGGTCCGGGCAGCAGCGCTTGCCCGAATGGCAGCCCGCCTGGCGCGCCGCCGCAACAGCTTGGCACTGTCGCCGCCGGCCGCTGCGGCAACACTTCCCTCCCTCGTTCACCAGCACAGCAGCCTCGGCGGCGGCGGCAGCGGCAGCAGAGGCAGAGCTGCATCAGTGAGCGGCGGCGACCTGGGAGCAGGCGCCGTTGCGTCCAGCGGCGGCAGAGCCGAGGCGCCAGCCCCGCAGGGGCAGGTGGAGCAGGAGGAGTGCCGGCCCAGCTTGATTGTGGTGCTCACATCGCACAAGACCGGCACCGCGCAGGCCAGGTGCTGGCGCGGGGCAGGCATGCCGCAGGCTGAGCCCAGCCTTTCCCAGTCAGCTGCCCTCAGCATGCCGCATGTTGGCCCCAGCAGGCCTGGTGCCTCCGATGGATGCTTCCCGGCCAGCGGCCCCCGGCCGGCTGCCCTATGCCTCTCCACCCACTGCCTCCCCAGCACACTGCTGCAGGTGCATCACCGAGATGCTGGAGCAGCGATATCTGATGCAGGGCGCCGCACGCCACGACCACCACCCGCCCCACCTCCACGCCGCCGCCGAGTTCGCAGCCGAGCGGCTGCAGACGCAGCTCAGCGGCGCGGCGGGCGGCAGCGGTGCGCGGCAGCGCCTGGCGCCGCCCTGCCTCGCCCTTGCTGCACCTTGCAAATCTGCTTTTTACGCGTGCAGCTCGGGTGGCAGAGGCTGTCCCAAATTTCGCAGCTGAGCCCTCTGCTGGCATCCACGCCCTGCCCGCACGTACTGCCGGTGCAGGCGGCCTGTACTGCCCTTCCGTCAAGCTCTACTCCTCGGGGCACCACCTGCCGCGGCTGGAGGATGAGGCCTGCCCCGGCACGCTGCCCTGCCCCTGCGAGGGCCAGCAGGAGCGGTGCCTGTCCACCGAGGCAGGAACCATCGACATCCCCGGGGGCAGCACCACGGTGGTGCAGGTGCGAGGCGTGGGGCGAGCCAGGACAGCATCCGCTCAGCGCTCAGTCTGCTGCATGCACAAGCTGGTGGGTAGCTAGCAGCCTTGCTGCTGGGTGTGTGCGGCGCGGCCATTTGTGGCCGATGGCCAAGTCGGGGCCCCGGCACCCTTTGCAGGTCATTCGCAACCCCATCGATGCCGTCCTGTCGGCATACGAGTATCATACACAGGTACTGCAGTTACTGCACCTGTAGCTGCTCAGCAGCACGGTACCACCGCCCCTCTGTGCTGCTCGGCAGCATCTGGCGGTGGCCGTGCCCGCTCACCTCCCTACCGGCCACCTGCCTGCCCCTGCCACACTGCCACACTGCCCCGCAGACCCCCGCCCCCGAGGAGTGGCTGGAGCAGATGCTGATGCAGAATATGACAGGCTGGCTGGTGTGGCACACATGGGGGGGGGCGGTGGTGGCGTTGTGTGTGTGTAGCAGCTGGTGTTGGCGGCCTTTTGTTTGTCCGGGTGGCTGATGAGCAGGCCCAGGCGGCGTCAGCAGGGAGCCCCCTGCAGCCTGTCCACCCGGCTGCCTGCGTGCCCTTCTGCCCATTGGGTTGCTGGCGGGGCACCCCTCACCGGCCTGTGCAGTACTCTGGCGGCGTGCCCTACGATGCGCTGGATGCGCTGGGCGCTTTCCACCAGGCCCTGCCCGCCGACTCCTTCTATTCCTTCCTCAGGCGCCTGCCGCAGGAGCGCGGCGTCAAGCTGCAGGTGGGCTGCCCTTCAGGCTGCGCCTCCGAGCGGCTGGCTGGCTGTGCCAGCAGGCCGGGCCGGTGCAGTGCTTAATACCCAAAGTCTCAGGCGGGCCTGCCACCTGGGCTGGCTGAGCCCGCCAGGCCACCATAGTTCCCACCGCCACCCCTGCCTCTCCTTGCCCCGCAGTGGTGGATGTCGTCGTGGGAGCTGTACGGCTTTGCGCGGCAGTACGCCAGCCTGGCTGTACAGCCCGGCCTGCGCTTCGTGCCCCTGCGCTTCGAGGTGGGCCTGCGGCTGGGTGCTGGCTGCCGTGGCGCTTACCACGCTCTGCCCGGCAGGGCTGGGCGGTGTCTGGAGGGCGGGCAGCTGCCAGCAGTGAGTTCGTCCGGCGGTGGCTCCCTGCGATGCATCCGAATGCCAAGCATCCCCTGCGCTGTTGCCCCACGCCCTGAGCCCCTGTGTGTTAAACACAGGACCTGCAATCGCGCTTCAACGCCACGGCGCGGGTCATGCTGGAGGCGTTTGCGGAGCGCCTGCCGCAGCTGGGGGTGGAGCAGATGCTGGCGGAGGTGCAGGTGGGCGGCGGCGTGCTGCACTGTGCTTTATACATGTCAGCTTTCGTGGTTCTCGTCAGCACTGCTGCGCACAGGCCTGCAGCAATCCGCGGCTTATGCTTCGGCATGCCCCAGCTGCGCTCCCACCGCTTCCTCATTTGCCCGCCGCCCATGCCTGCCTGCCTCCCCTGCCTCCCCAGGCCTGCCACGTGTCTTCCTGGGACCATGCCCTGCTGGCCTCCCACACCCACGTCACCAACCGGCACCCCGCCCTGCGCCGCCACCTGCGCGGCGTGCTGATGGGGGACCCCGAGATTGCGGGGCGCCTCTGCCAGCTCAGCGCCGTGTTTGGGTACGCACCAGAGGTGCCCGAGTGCGGCGGTGACGGCGGCGGCAGCGGCGCCGCCGCAGCTGCCGGGGCGGGGCAGCAGCAGGGGGAGGAGGAGGGGCAGGCGCCTGTTGATAAGAGCAGGCACTAGCAAGCCCAGCCTGGGATGTGGTGTCAGTAGGCGTTCAGCCGTCTTCCGGGGTGCCTGCCCTTTGCCAAGTTTCTGCGGCGTGGTGGCTGTCCTGCCGCCACCTGGTTGCGGCCCCTTGTTTTTTCTCTTTTCCCCAGGTGTGGTTTGGCTGGCTGGCTGGCTGCAGTGTGCATCATCCCCAGCTGCAGCGCTCTTGTTGCAATCCTTTTTGCCTTGCTCTGACCTTTCCGGGCCCTTCAGAACCCTCAACCCTTTCAAAAAGCCTCTTGACCGATGACACCCCCGTGATGTGACCCAACCGCGACCAACAGCTCTGCTTGCCTTGCCAGCTCCCAGCCCTGCGCCCTGCAACACCGATTGTGCGGGACTTGACAAGCATTCTGGCAGGTCGGGCAGGGACATAGGCCAGGCTGCAGCGGGGGTGCAGCGAGCAGGAATGAGCGAGCCATGCATGCATCAAAGACTAGTTTGCACTCCCCTTCCATGCTCTACTCTTCCGCCGCTCTTGGCAGTATAATGCACACGAAGCGTGCCGCCAGTGGTACAGGCTGGGGTGCACCCCCGCCCGCGTCCACGCCGCCGCCGCCCCCGCCGCTACAAGCGCGCGCGGGGCGGGCGCGGCGGCGCCGGCTCCAGCCTGTCTTCGTCGGCGGCGGTGGTGTCGCCCTCGCCAGCCACCAGCGCGCGCTGCGGCAGGCCCAGCAGCACCGATTGCTTGCGCTTGATGCGCCTGAACTCGGCGGTGACATAGTCCAGCAGCTGCATGGGGCGAGGTGGAAAGCGCGGCGGGTTGTGCAGGAAGAGGTGGAAAGCGCGGCGGGTTGCGCAGTCCACTGGAGGAGTGGGAGGCGCGACAGGGTCGCGGCGTGTGCGGCGAAGAGCCTGGCAGGGAGGGACCGCGGCTGCGTGCCACCCGGTTGGGATCGGGGCCTGAGCTGGAGTCGCCGCGGCCTTGCTGTGGTGGACCCCATGCACACGGTGCTTTCCATGACAATATAGGAGAGAATCCACCCTTCCAGCTTGCCTGGTTGGGGTATGAGATGGCCGACCACTCGCGCACGCTGCCCTCCTCCCAGCGCCGCAGGATGACCTTGTTGGCGGACACGTGGGCCACCAGCTGCGGGGTGGGTGGGTGGGTGGGGTGGGATGGTGGGTGGAGGGGCAGGCAGGCAGGCAGGCCACACCATCAAAAATTGCAGCCGCAGCAGCCGCTCCCTGGCGGCCCACATGCGCGGCCAAGGTGCCACCCCACGCCCCTACACATCCACGCATTCACGCGCACACACGCGCACACACTCAGAAGCAGCCCACCTGCAGCAGCAGCGGGTCGATGTAGGGCGTGCGCAGCAGGTCCACGTGGTTGACCACGGTGTCGGCAGCCCGCTCGTTCAGAGGCTGCAGCACCACCCGCATCCACCGCCTGCGCCCAGGGAGGCGTGTGGGTGCCGAAACGTGTGTGTGTGTGTGTGTGTGTGTGGTTAGGACAGTGGGAGTGACGCGTGCGCGCGCGCATGGTTAGGACAGTGAGAGTGACGGGTGTAAAGGGGGCCTGGCATGTGGGCTCATGTGCTCGGCGCTTCGTGGCAGCCTGCTGTGGGGGCGCCGCTGGCGCCCCCACCCCCCGGCTGCTGCCCAACCGCATCCCACCTGTACGCCTCTCCCTCCGCGCCCTCCGGGTGCGCCTGCACCGCCTGCACAAAGCCGTGCACCGTGCCGTCCGGGCTGTGCTGGCGCACCATGGCCGCATAGGCGGAGCGCGAGGCGTGCACGCACGCCAGCAGCGGCCCGTACAGCAGCCGCACTTGGTCGTTGATGCGGTCGATCTGGGCCTTGCGCTCATCCGTCTTCTTGCTGTTGTAGTACGTGAACAGCCAGCCTGGGGGAGGGAGGGCGGGAAGCGGGGATGCAGGTCGCGGCAGGTGGGCGTTGGCGGCGGAGGCGCGTCGAGCAGGCGCCGCGGCGGCTGTCGGCACGGCGCTCCGACAGCGTGATCAAGCTCATAGTTGCCGTTCGATCACGGCTGGCGGCGCCCCACCTAAAAAGGCCGGCAGCAGCACCGTGCCGGAGCGCAGCATCGCGCCTTTCAGCCCTCACGTCCCGCCATAGAGTGGCCACATGGCTGGAGATGGTATGCGGGCTGGGAGGCCTGGCTGTTGGCACTTGCGCTGCACTGCCACGTCACAGCGGTGCCCTGCCGCCAGAGTTCGCCTCTCGCTGCCCGCCTCGGCTGAGCAGCAGCTAACTGATGATGATTCAAGACTGTCTGAGGGCTCCGTAGTGGTGCCTTGAGCCTGAAGCGGCCACCGGCAGAAGCATTGCCGGCGAGCCAGCGGCTGTGTCCGTCCCGGGCACTGAGGGCACCGAGAGGGCTTGATGGTCGACAACTGCTTCAGGACGCGCTTCATCACATACTTTAAATTCGTGGACATCAAGCCAGAATGGTGCCGAGCAGAGGCAGGTGTGCTGGGCGGGCGAGCGGGAGCAGCGGCGGGCAGGGGCGGGAGCTTCAGAGATGGCGGCGCACCAGCTGCAGCCCACAGCTGATGACGGAACCCGAATCCACGGCATAATCGCGAATCGCCAAGTCCTCAGAGAGAGCCATAGTGCTCCAGTGTTTCTGGCCCTCGTGGCAGCTTTGGCGATGGGCGGGCGATGAGGACTGCTGTCGCGTCCAAATTTCGCCAATCAGCTGGCGATGGCACATTGAGGATTGGCGAAATGCGGGGGAGCCACCCTTGCGCCTGGCACAGCGCAGCGGCCACATGCGGCGCCGCTGTTGCTTTGTCGGCACTTGCCTCCCTTTTGGGGGACTGGGGGCGAAGCCCCCAGCAAGCTGGCGCTTGTTTAACACTATGGAATGAAGTTCCTGAGGAAAATTGGCCATTTCTCCTCAAAATATTGGCGATGTCAGTCATGGGGGCTGGCGACGCGCTGGCGATGTCGCCCCGCCGCCTGCCCTCATTTAGCCAGCTCTGGCTGGCGATGGCCTTCGGCCAATCGCCAGCCAGAGCCGTTTTTTGGCCCGATTTCGCCAGCATTTGGCGATTTCGCCAGCTTTCAGAAACACTGCTCAGCGAGAGGCATTGGGGACGTGGCCTCCCGATATTTTCATGCCGGCAGCCCACATCCTAAACCCGTCAGTCTCACCGGCATCCATTGCCTAGGGTCTGCAAGCTGCTGGGTTTGGGTGGCAACAGCACACCCGACATGGCGCCCCTGCCAACCTCGCTTGCGTCCCGCAGCGGCACCCGTCTCACACACGCCGGCTGCAGAAATGCGGCGGCAGCGCGCAGCAGAGCCGCGGTGCTGCCGGCTCGTGCCGCGGCGTCGGCGGAAGCGGCAGACGGCCGCGACCCGACCGGCCTCTCCTCGCTGCGCCTCCTCAAGCCCTCTGCCCTGGACATGGACAGCCTCATGCAAGAGTGGAGCAGGTAGGATCACCCGTCTGGGATGGGCGCTGCCAGCCAGCCCGCCCACGCCTGGCGCCTGGCTTGGCTGCTCGCCCGTGGCTGCCGTGACGGGCGAGCCGCCACCCTGCCCCCTTTGGTGCAGCCGTGAGTGCAACCACGAGTTTGCCGGGGCGTCGGCGAGCGCGCCAGACGTGCCACAAGGGGTGAAGAAAGGCAGCTTCATGATCACCACCAACCGCAAGAAGGTGAGGCTCTGTGCCGGCTTCGGAGCCGTGCGCCGCTATGCTTTGCCACGGCATGTCTGGGCTGCACGCCTCTGCCTGACGGTGCTGGCTTGGAGCTCAGCCTGCTGCTAGCCATTGCTCTGCCCTGGCCTGCATTACCGCAAACGCAGGTGGGGGAGGGCAAGGCGGCGTATGATGCCGCCATCGCCGCCATCAAGAGCTGGCAGCACCTGCAGCTGGGTGAGCTCGCACTCTGCCCGGGCGGGCATCATGGTGCCCATGCAGCAGGACCCTGCATCCCGTGCCCATGCTTCATTCCGGTTGCCGTGCCTCTGTTCCTGGCACTAGCTTTTACGGCAGCTGGCTGCCATCCACTTTTCAGTGTCGCCGGCACAACCAAACCACACGTGTGCACCCCCGCCCTGCTTGCTGCCACCACCCGCACCGCCGCAGGCTGGAACTGCACCACCACGCCCGCCCTGAAGCCGGGCGTCACCATTTGTTCCGCCACACAGACCGTGGTGCCGTGGAGCGTACTGCCGGCCCAGGTGGTGTACTGCAAGGAGGAGTCTGCGGAGTTTGGACCCGGGGACAAGGGTGAGGAGAGGGGTTGTCGGTCGGGCAGCAGGCCGGCTGGTTGGGTCGGGCGGGCAGGCGCCTGCCTGCCTGGGGCTCGACTTGCACAGGGCCGCGGCCAGACAGGCAGGCTATGAGCTGCGCCGGCTTCCAGCCGGCCCCCTGTGCTCCACCCGCCGGCAGCGCCCCGGAGCGAGCAGCAGCCTGTGCGCCAGCGTGACGTGTGCCGGCCGCTCGCGCTGCTTTGCTGGCCGCAGGCATGCGCTTCTCTGTCGGCATGTCCTCGCTGACGGGGCACCAGCTGGCAGGGGAGGAGCGGTTCCAAGTTGAGCTGCATGCAGACGGCTCTGTGTGGTGAGCAGGCAGGGGTAGGGGATGCGGGGATGCGAGCAGTGCGGCGGGGCAGGCAGGCAGGCGGCCCGGGAGCAACAGGCAGCAGGCAGCGCCGCGCCTTGCGGTGCCCCAGCCGGCGCCCTTGTGCTCGACCCCCCGGCCTGCGCCCGTGTTGTTCACCGCGCCAACTCTGTACGTTTGCTTCTGTCCTGTTCGTCAGCTGTACTGCTGCCTGAACTGTACTGCCTGCAGGTACGACATCTACCTCTTCTCCCGCCCAGACACGCTGCTGGCCTGGGCCTCGCTGCCGGTGGTGAAGGTCATGCAGATACGGTGCGCCGGCTGCACTCGATGTACTGCCACTGTACTGTCGCTGTGCCGCCACCGTACCGCTGCTGCGTGCGTGTGTTTTGCTGCGGTGCCGCTGCTGCTTCATGCGCCACTTGCTTGCTGCTGGCTTTGCAGGTATGTGCTGGACGGCCTCAAGGCGGTGGCGGCGGCCGTGAAGGCATAGCCGCTGCCGGGAGGCTGCCCCCGCCTCCCCTTGTGGGGCGGCGTCTCCAGGCGCGCCTGTTCACACAGGCTGGCGCTGGATGTTGCTCAGGCCTGCTGCAGCGCCTGCGTCCTTGCGCCCTCCCCACTTTTCCGATGGGACTGCAAGTTGCTCTTCTGAGGCGGCAGCTGTTTTTTACTCCTATGAGAGTCTTGTTCTTGTTTTGCACTCCTGCCCAACCCAGAGCGATCTACAAGTGAAATGCACTTGTTCCTGCCATGACAGCCAACCCTCGTTGTTACATCCTGATTACACACAACAGCGAGTAACCGCTGTATGAGCCAGGGAATATGTGTGTGGGCTGTGTGGGCTGGCCATGCCCACCAAACAGCAGTGAGTAGACAGCACCGCATGGCGGCACTCCCGCCGGGGCGCCACCTGGCGCATGAGGTGAGCGGGCCGAACCCATTTGAGGAACCCCTGCGGACCGCCACTTAAAGAGGGCCGTGCGCAGTCCGCCCTCAAATCCTTGCTTCCGCCCTCAAATCCAGTGCTTCTGGACTCCATGGCGCCGCCACGGGCAACCAGACCGCTCGTCCTGGCCTTGTTTTTGCTCCTCGCCACCTTCACACAGGTCCTGCTTGCATTGTACGGCCTGCTGAGCCGCTACGCGCAGGTGAGGCTGGTGGTGCAGCGGCGGAGGTCGGGCCGCCGGCGCACCACGCCGCCGCCACCTGCAGACGCCGCCGCTGTGCCACTAGCTGTCCCTTGGCCCCTTGCAGATCAAGCCTACGCTACCAGTCCCCGCGCTGCGCCTGGTGGTGGTGACAAACCTGATTGGAGAGGCCGCGCTGCTGCTCTTCCATGCAGCGCCGCTGCTGGTCGCGGCGCAAGTGCGGCGGTGGAGGCGGCGCAGCTGGCCGCAGCCCGGCCTCCCTGCTCACGGCCCAGGGGATGCAGCAGCGGCCTCTGCCAAGGCGGGAGATGGGTGCTGCAGCAGCAGCGAGAGCAGCGAGGCCGCAGGATGCCCGCCCGACGGGGATGTGGAGCAGGCGGCAGGGAGCCCTCCGCAGCAGCACAGCTCGCCGGGCCAGCCTGACGAGCAGCCTTTGCAGCAGCAGCAGCAGCGGCGCCCGGCGCCCCTGGCTCATGCCAAGACCTCGGTCCGGCCGCCGCTGCCCCTGGCGCGCGGCCTGTCCAGCCGGTTTGAGCGGTGGGAGGCGGGGCGGCCGCTGCTGCGCCGCCGCCTGGCGCTGGCCGCCATCGTGGTCAGCTTCATGGGCTGCTGCTCCCTGCACATCCTGGCCCCCGGCTTTGTGGACGTGTCCATCGTGGTGAGTTATTTCCTATTATTGTTGTTTTTTCCACTACCAGTGCCATTGCCTGGAGTCCGCTGCCTTGCGTTGGGGTTGCCGCCTGCGGTGCCGGAGGAATTCTGGCGAGCAGCGGAGGGGGCTGCCTGTGCCTGGCGCGCCCGTTACCCCGCCCACCAGCCTGCCGCTGCCCCCCCTGCCTCCCCCCTCCCTGCCCGCTGCCGCGCCCAGATGCTGACCACACAGTGGACGCCGCTGTTCATCGCAGCGGTACAGTCGCTGCTGCTGCGCAAGCCGCTGCCGCGCGCCTTCTGGCCCAGCGCTGCCGTCATGCTGGGCGGCGCGGGCATGGTCATCGTGCCGGCGGTGTCCCAGGTGGGGGGCGGCTGGGGTGTGCCGTGTGCCGTGCTGTGGCGTGCCGTGCTGCCGCCTGCATGCCGGCTACCATCAGGAGCGCCGCGCTCAGCAGCCGGTGCCAGCATGCTGCTGCGCCTGGCTGAGCCTTGCGCTCCGAACCTGGCGCTCCCGTCTCTCATCCCCCTCCTCCCGGCCCCGCCCTGCCACTGCCACTGCCCTGCCCATGCCCACCACCACCCATGCTCGCACGCACGCCCACGGGCGCCGCCGCCCGCTTGCAGAGCACGTCGGGCAGCCTGAGCACGGCCCGCGGGTGGTGGGGCTTTGCCATGGCGCTGGGAGCCCTCATCTCGACCGTCATTTACTACACGCTGCTGCAGGTGCGTGTGTTCTTTGGGGGGGGGCTGGTGCTTGCCGCAGCAATAGCACGCCCCTGCTGCTGGATCCACCAGCGCTGCCTACATGGCCCCCCAGCGCTGCCTACATGGCCCCCCAGCGCTGCCGGCCCCGCTCCCCACGCCCGCACGCTGTAGTCGATGTGTGGCCCCACCCCCGCCTGCAGGCCTGCCGTCACATGGGGTTCACCGCGCTGCGGCTGCAGCATTACATGAACCTGGCTTCCATCCTGCTGTACCTCCCCCTCACGCTGCCCATCAACGGCACCGCCTGGGGGGCACAGTTTGCGGGGTGGGGCGCCACCGACTGGGCAGCGCTGGTCAGCCTGGCGACCGTCGCCTACATGGGCAGCGGCGTGTTTATGCAGGCGCGCGGGTGCCGGGCCGCGCCTCGCGTCTGCCCTTGAGCTTTGTGGACCCGCCGCCGGGCCCTGGGTCCCGCCCTGCAACCTTGCTGGCCCACGCATAGGGGTGCCCCCTCGTGCCGCAGCGCTCCATGCCGCCGCCTTGCCCAGCTCGTCGCTCGCTTACCGTGTGCTGCTGCCGCCCGCCCCCACCCCCACTCCCACCCCTCGCCCGCAGCTGTGCGTGTGGCGGCTGGGCGCCCCCACCGCCTCCATGTTCTTCGGCCTGCGCCTCGTCTTCTCCGTGGTGCTTTCCACCCCCATCCTGGGCTCCACCATCATCCAGACGGGCGTGCAGGTGTGTGTGTGTGTGTGTGTTGGCAGGCTGGGCTGGGCGGCTGCGCTCCGCTTCGGAGCCCTTTGGCTGCAGCGCCTGAGCGGAGCTGCGCTGGTCGCTGGTTGCTGGGCTGGGCGAGGCGAGGCTGCCTGCGCCGGCGTGCGGCGCATGCGAATGTGTGCTGGCCTCGGCATGCAATGCCCGTTGCCGGCGCTCCCGCGCCTGCAGATCGCGGGAGTAGTCGTGACGGCAGTGGCGGTGACGGCGTATGCGGGCAGCCAGTGGTGGGCCAGCCGCGGCGAGCAGCTGCGGCAGCAGCTGGCGGAGCGGCAGGCGCAGGGGGAGGCGGCGGCGGAAGCGGCTGACTTGGGGGCCAGCCGTGTGGGCTCGGCTGCGTGGGATGCCAAGCCTCCTGCGCCTGCGTGCTGCGCATGAGATACTGCGACGGAAATGAACCCTGGTAGACATACCTTTCATTCAGCGTTACCCTTCATGCCCCTTCGTGTGCGAGCGTCCCCGCTATTGCTTTGAGAGTGTGTACTGCTTTGAGAGTGTTGATTTTTTTACCGTTTGAGTGTGCCTTCTAAATGAGTGTGCCTTCTAAATGGCCTGCCCCACATGGTTTTGGGCGTAATGCGAACTTTGCCAGGGGTGCCCGCCTGCGAGGTGGCGCACCGGCGTGCAGCCACCAGGTGGCGGGCGCATTTGCCGCATCGCCCCTTGACTGCTGCAGGATGGGTGGCAGCACCCGGTGCACCACAAACAGCGCAAGCCACTGTCTTAGGGGCTAGTGGCAAGCCCAATGTGCTGGTGGGGGGCCTACACATATAAGTGTTGGCTCCGCTACGGGACCGGCGGCGGGCAAGTGTCCATTCTAGCGTCCCTGAGGTCCCACGTCTTTCCCATTGTCCTTGTTCCATCAAAACGTACGTAGGCGGTTGGCATCAGCTGCTAGAGGGGGAACCCTGGGGGGGGGGGCCAACTGCGTGGGGCCCCATCAAGATGCACTGACGGTCCCGAGGCGGCGAGCTTGCGGCCTCTCCCTCTCCCTCGCTCCAGGCCGCAACACCTGCCGTGCTGCCAGCCTTGCACTGGACAGCCTTGCCTTGCCTTGCCTTGCCTTGCCCAGCCTTGCCCAGCCTGACACTGCCGCGACTTGGTTGACTGCCTGCACTTGCGGCAGAAGGCTATACCACGGCCAAGGAGCAGTAATGCAACCCTGTGCAGTACTATGGTGGCCGCCACGCAGCCTGCTTCCACAGGCCATGCAGCAGCAGTATGCCAGCGACATACAGCGGCTGGGGTTTGGGGCAGCGGGATAGGCGGAGGCATGAAACGCGCCTCGGCTGCTGCCAGCTGTAGTGTGAGCCAATAAAGCCTTGATCGGAACAGGCCAGGGAATCTGTTCAAGACTGCTTTTCAGTGAGATTTGTTTGTATCGTGATGCTTTGCAATAAATCACCTTTCAACAAAAATTATGAGCTTGCCGCCAGCTCTGCTGCGCCATGTGGGCGGCGGCGATGGCCCCTGCTCCGATCGCCCCCAGCCAATCTCCCCGAAGCTCTGAATCGCCGTCTACCCGCATTCCAGGGACCGAGGTGCCGCCAGACCGCCATCCCCCACATGGCGCTGGTGGTTCTGGTGGGGCCAGCGCCTTGGCGGGCGCCCTGTCCCGATCGTCCCGTGATTGGTGGGGGCCGGCGGCAGCTGCGGGCCTCACCAGCGAGGCGGCAGCGGGTCTCGCATGTGCACAGGCTCCTGGCTCTGCCAGCAGTGCCCAGCGGCTCGGCCAGGGATGCAGCCGAGGGAGTTGCGGTCCCCGTCAACTCCGCAGAGGTGCGGGTGCTGCAGCGCATGGCTCCCAGCACCCAAACGAGTGATCGCAGCGATTTGGCGAGGCTGGAGAGCCTCGATTGAGATGTGGGCACGAGGAGTGAGCCTGGCGCAGGCCACAGCCTGCGCCGTGCCCTAGCGCCGCCGCCCCGCCGACCAAGCTCGCTTCCTGTGCCGCCGTCCCTGCAGCTGCTGGGCCTGCAAGGTGTGCAGTTCCCGCTGAAGCCGACGATCGAGAAGGCGTATGAGGAGCTGAAGAACACTCCCCTGGAGGATGGGTACAGGTGAGGCCTGGCACCAGGCGGGCGCCGACTCCCGCCGCCGCCGCCGCCAACCGCCGCCAACCGCCGGCGCCCGCCCCCTGCTCCCGCGCGCCGAGCTGCCCCTGCCAGCCACCCTTACCCGCGAGGCCGCGGGGCCGCGCGCACGCTCGCCCACCCTCCCACCACGCGCCTGCCTGCCTGCCTGCTATGCACGCTGTCGCAGTGAGTTGGCGCGCCTAGGCAAGGAGCGCATCCTGCAGGCGGCCCGACAGGAGCTGCACCGCGTGGGCGGCCGCACCGCGCTGCTGCGGCCCGGCGTGCAGATTGAGCAGCTGCTGCTGCCGGGCGCCATGGCGCTGCTGCACCAGGTCTGCCGGCTGGCCGGCGCTGCGGGCCTGCTGCTGCTGCTGTTGCTGCTGCTGTTCCAGGCCTGCACACCGCACGGAGGCCCCGCGGCCCCCGCTGCGCCGAGCCGCCGCCCTGGCGCGCTAGCCTGGTGCTGCCGCTGCCACCGCTGCTGCTGCCGCTGCTGTTGCCGCTGCTGCCGTCGCCGCTGCCGCCGAGCTGCTGCTACTGCCGTTGGCGATGAGCGGCGCCCAGCAGGGGCAGAGCCCTGGAGGCCACACCACCCTCCCCAGAGACCTCTGGCGCACACCGACCCCGCCAGCCTGCCATTCTTGCACTCCCACCACCCCGCCGTACCGCCGTACCGCTACCGTCGCGCCGCCTCGTGCGTCTGCGCTTCGTACCGCCCGCAGGTCAGGCGGTACGACCTGGTCATCCAGCTCAGCGAGGAGGGTGCGGGGCTGGGGGCGCGCCAGATCCAGGACTCCAGCCCACACACGCTGCGGGAGATCGAGCAGGACATGGCTCTGGCCACGGCGCTGGCGCAGGCGAGCGGCGCGCAGCCTGCCGCCGCTGGCGCTGCCGCCATTCTCAGCAGCTGCCACTGGTTGTGTATGTCGTCTCGCCCTCCCCAGCCTCCGACCTGCTGGGGAGCCCCCAATACGAAGCCTGCTCCTGCCTCCCACGCCCCCCCTGGCGTGCAGTGCGGGCTGGCAGACCGGGCCCTGAAGGAGGGCCAGCCCGCGCTGGCCTGCAGCCGGCTGGAGGAGGCGTTGGAGCTGCTGGTGGGGGCGCCGCACGCGGCGGGCGGCGGCAGCCTGCTGGGGGAGGGCGGGCCAGGGGCGCAGCAGGGGCAGCGCGCGCTGGCACCCAAGCTGCAAGCTGAGATCAGGGCTGCGCTGGCGCAGTACCACCCTGATGCAGTGGCAGACTACCTGCAGGCAGGCGGCAGCAGGGGGATGGGCTGCCGGAGGGGGCAGGGCGCTGCAGGGGGCCAGGCATGGCACGGGTGGTGGGCCACCGCTGGGCGGGGGCGGCAGGAATGGCGGCAGGGCTGCGGGGCGCGGCGTAGGGCAGCGGGGCAGCAGTGCGGCGGCCGCGGCGTGGGCATCTGCAAGCCTCGCTTACTCGTTGACGCCTGCTGCACTTCCCGCATGTGCTTACCCTTTGCCCTTCCCTGCCCCACACGTGTCATCCCGCACCCATCCTCCCTCCTCTCGTCTCTGCTCTGCCGCCCGCCCCACACCCCTTCTCCCACACCCTTTCTCCCACACCCCTCCTCCCACACCCCTCCTCCCACACCCCTTCTCCCACGCACCCAGGTGCCCCTGGATCGAGCCGACTACGACCTACGGCAGAAGGAGCTGCAGGCGTTGACGGCGTGGGCGGCGGAGGCGCCGCCGCCGCGCCGCTGGCTGTCCCGCGCCCGGCGGCAGCGCCCTGCGCTCACAGCTGACTACATGGCTCGCATCGTGCCGCACCTCACCGCAGGCAGGCCCTGTGGTCGCCTTGCATTCGACCTGCGGGTCTTGTGGGAGGGAGGCAGGGGCCGTACACAGCGTGGTTTGCCCTGTGGGCGGGAGGCAGGAGGAGCCGTGCAGAGGAGACGGTGCGGGCGTGTGTGTGGCGGTTGCCGGGCACAGCTGCGGCCGACGGGGCGCCACCCTCTGCCCCGGGGCAGCACTCGGGGTAGGGCGGTCGCACGCAGCACCCTGCAGGCCGCTCACGCAGGCACCTATCCCCTGCCTGCCCCTCCTGCCCCTGCCCCTGCCCTTGCCCTGGCCTGCAGCCGAGCTGTGCTCTCTGTACGACTGGCAGCGGCTGGCTGCCGGGGGCAGCAGCTCCCGCTGCCCCTGGTACTTCCCTGGGCTGCTCAAGGTGAGGCTGGCTGGCTGGCTGGCTGGCTGGCTGGTGGGACATGCCAAGGGCGGCATGCCAGCGGGCTGGTGGGCCGGCGGGCGCCAGTGAACAGGAGTGCAGGTGCGGGAAGGTGGACGCGGCGGGTGCCAGCACGGGTTGCCGCCGCCGCAACGCCCCGCTGCTCCCCGCCACGCCTGCATGCGGACCTGCCTGGCTCGTGTGCCTGCTGCCCCTGCTTGCCACTGCCACCCCTGCCTGCCGCGCCTCCACCTCGCCGCTCGTGCGACAATGCCGTGCCCCGCCGCCGCTGCTGCAGCGTGTGGCGCTGGCACACCTGGTGGTCGGGTTCACGGAGCGCAGCCCTGCCGCCATCCACACCGCGCTCAGGCTCTTCTCCGCTGTCAAGAAGGTGGGGTGGGGGCGGGGCGGCGCGGGGCCGCGCCGCGGCCATTGTGTACTGACGGGCCGGGGCTACAGCCAGTGCCATGCTGTAGTGCTTGCCGTGACAGCTCGATTGTTGCACGGTGGCAGGTGGTGGCAACCCTGGGTGCCGCCGCACCCGCCCGCCCACACGCCCGTGCATAACCCGCGGGCTCCCCATCACAAGCACCCCGGTCCCGTGTGTCCCGGTGCCAGAGAGCCAGCTGGATTCAGGCTGAATGCTGTCCGCCTGCCTGCTGCGTGGCCGCCTGCCTGCAGGGCGATGACGTGGCGCTCTCCCTGGCCGTGTGCCGCCTGCTGCTGGGAGACCCGGCGGGGGCGCTGCGGGTGCTTCAGGACGACGAGCAGGCGCAGGCGGCGGCGGTGGCGCAGCGGCAGCAGCAGCAGCAGGCGGCGGGCCTGGCGGCGGCGCCAGGTGCGGCATGGGGCTGCATGGGGGCGGTCGCCTTCGCAGGCCGCGAGCGGCGGCGCCAGTCTGCCCGCCATGGTGTGTTATACGTCCGCCTGTCGTTGGGCACCCGGCCCACCTGCCCCTTCCCTCTTGACTCGGCAGCCTCCCTCCTTCTGCTTGGCGCCTCGGTGCAGGCGGCAATGGGGTAATGGATGGCGCCTCCGTGGCGGGGCGGGGAGCGGGGCCGGGGCCGGCCGCGCGCCACGCTGTGATGCCGTTCATTCGGCAGCACTCGCCTCAGGTGCGCGCCAGGCGGGCCGCTGCCATGCTTTCGCTGCCGGGTGATGGAGCGGCAGGCAGCTGCTCTGGGGGTGCCTGCATGGGCAGGCCAGAGAGGAGCTGCAGCGGGGCGGCCGGGGAGGTGCGCCACGGCCCGAGGAACGCACTGGATCACAGCTCGCGCCGGGCCGCTTGGGTGGCGCCAGCCATCGCCTGCTGCGCTTATGCCGCGCTTATGCCGCACTCATGCTGTGGTCATGCTGTGCCCGCCGTGCTGCGCTGCGTGGCAGGGGGAGCTGGACCTGCGGCCCGGGCTGGCCGCCTTCACCAACTGGTGGCTGGAGGCGGTGGCCTATCCAGAATTCCAGGACACGGGTGGGTGGGGGTGCAGAGGGCTGGGCGGGCGGAGGGCCGGGGCAGGGCCTCTAGTCCGCTGTCCGTGTCAGGCAGCCTCCAGCCTCCAGCAGCCTTACGCCACGTCTCTGGGCACGCCCCAGCGGCGCCTCCCCACGCCGGCAGCGCCCCGGGCGTTCGGACCTCGCCCACATTCGCTGCCTGTGCCGCTCTGCAGCCCTGGGCGCCGCGCGCCGCCCCAACCTGGCAGCATATTTTGATGACCCTGGCGTACAGGCCTTCCTGGCGTCCCAGGTGGGTGGGTGTGGGTGCAGAGGGTGGGGCAGAGAGGCAAGGAGCGGGGGGGTGCGCCAGCATACAGCAGTCCGCGACCCAGCTGCGTCCTGGGTGGGGTGGGGTGCCTGCTGGGCCCACGTGGGGGAGTTGGCGCGCACGTGGCGCGCTGCAGCTGCAGTAGAGCAGCGAAGTTGAGGGTTTGCTGTGCCTCCTGGGCCCCCGCCGGCCGCTGCAGAATGGCAAGCCCGGCGGCGGCATGCTGGGCATACTGTCCCGAGCCCCGGCCTTGCTGCTGGGGCGCTTTGGCGGCCCTGCATTGGACGCTGCACTTCACGACTCGATGCGGCAGCAGCGTGCGGGAAGCCTGCTGGCGACAGTCCTGCGGCTGCTGGCTGGCGCCGCGGTGCTGGCTGCCGCGGTGCTGGCAGCGTCCCGGCTGCGCAGCAGCGGCTGGGAGGGCATCCCCTGGGCGTTGCGGCCGCCCACGGCGGCGGAGCAGCTGCCGCCAGATGAAACCACCGAGGCCGCAGCAGCAGACATCGGCCTGCCGGCGCAGGCGCTGCGGCGGCTGTGGCCGCAGCAATGGCAGCAAGGGGAGCAGCAGGCGGCCGTGCCCCAGCAGCAGCAGCAGCAGCAAGTGCAGGTGCTCAGCAAGTCGGCAGCTGCCAAGCTTGTCAAGGAATGGCTGGTGAGCAGTGGCGGCACCTGGGTGCACTGAGCCCGCCTGCTGCTATGCCTGTGGCTGCGCTGCTTCTGGCTGGCTCAATTCGTGCGGCAGCACCCCTTGCTGCAACATGCTGATGCCGAATGCGTGAGCATGTGCTCGTGCACCGTTCCCCCCTGCTCAACTGCAGAGCGTCAAGGCGGAGGCGATGGGCCCACGGCACACCGTGGCGCGGCTGGCGCAGGTGCGACGCCCAGCTGTTGAATAAACGGCATACAGCATCCGCGGCCCTCCTGTGCCATTCCACGTGTGGCTGCTTCCGCGTATGCCCGACCCCTGCTACCCGCAGCTAGCCCCAGCCAACTCTGCCCTGCTCCCCTGCTTCTGCCCCACTCCCGCTGCCGGCAGGTGCTGGACGAACCGATGCTGTCGGCGGTGCTGTCAGAGGCGGCGGACGCTGCGGCCAGCGGCTGGTACTGGAACATCCGGCCGCACAAGTCCAAGGTCGGGCCCGTGGGGCTGCTGCCTAGCTGGAGTCGCATCTCGAGCGCATTTGCGTGGCATTGCATCCGAGCTGCGCCGGCTCTGAGCTGCGCTGGCTCTTGACCTCGCCTTCCACACACACGCCC